GAGAGAGAGAGAGAGAGAGAGAGAGAGAGAGAGAGAGAGAGAGAGAGAGAGAGAGAAGGAGAGTGAAAGAGTATAATGTAGAGATTGTACGAATCGGTCCGTGCAGCAAGTACTGTCCATATCGGTGAGCTTCTCTGGTGGTGGTGGATGTGCATGAGCACGTGAGGGAGAATCCTCTGTTGGTTGTGGCACGTGTCGACATCCCACAGGCAAGTTGTTTTGGTTACACTCTACAGTTTCACTATGTGGTTTGGGTACTTGCCAGCTGAAACAGCTACTGCAGTAAGTTCCCAGTAACTCCTATAGTTACTGTGCCAGTAGGGTATCTGGCAATGTTGCTACCATGTCGTAACCACGTTAGTTCTCATAGGTAATGTGTGGTTACTATGTATTTCCTGTGTAGTTACTATGTAAGTTAATATCTAGTTACTATGTAGTTACTATGCAGTTGATGTGAAGTTACTGTGAAGTTACTGTGAAGTTACTATGCAGTTTGTATGAAGTTGTTGTGGTACCTATGGTAACTCCACAGAGTACCAAAGCAGTGATGGCCAACTTCATTCAAGGTTTTCTCTTGACATTCCAGACCAGGATTTACAAGATGGCCTTGCATGACAAGATTATGGCCGTGTTGAACGGCGTTCCCATAGGATTAGGGGGCCTCTACCACATGGCCGAGTCCTGAAGGTGACTCTCATATGTCTGTAATCCAGCCTCTACAAAAAAAGGGATTATGGTCGCATTGGATGCACAGGGAGATGGTTATCTTTCCGTGAGCTTACAGTTCTTCATACTCAAACCACCAGTACTTCCGAGGCACTTTCCTCTTTTTTATTTTATTATTTTTTATATATATATTTTTTTGGACGGTTTCTCGATATATGCATGTCATCCTTGCGCAGGGCCCATGCCAATCTTCTTTCTCTGTATCGTTCCAGTTTTAACGGACGTGCGGAAGGACACTTTCCTCTAATGCCATGCGCGCCAAAACAAACAAAACGGCACGGCTCTCCTTTTGGCTGTTTGGCTCTGGAGGCTGGGCCCAGGAAGTTGCGCCGGTATCGAAGCTGCACATTTGTTTTCAAAGCGGGGTACTAGTGATTCCATTGGTGTTATCTTTCTCCGGGCTGTGATCAATTTTCGATGGGCTCTTTTAAGTGTTGGCGCATGCGTGACAGACCGTTTTCTTGGGTATATCTACCATATCTGTTCTCATGCTACATGCTGTTTTGCAGCTTTTGCCATCTTTTTTTTTTTTTTTTTTTTTCCCGGGGCAGAAAGCAGAATGCACCAAGTTACACACCAAATAAGAGCAAAGCAATGAACTCAATTGTCAATGTTCAGCCCCCATCTCGCCTCCACCGACAATGTATCCAATGTCGCTCTTCTTCATTGGCGCCTGGCGTTCACGTTGCGGCCCAACTACAGTCCTACAACACCTATGCTAGCCTACACTACGTGATGCGCTACCAGCAGCACTTCAGCAGCAGACCGATGTACATGAAGACGTTGCCCATGCAGACCTCCATGACACACCAGGTACCTCCAGTGTCTCTCTCTCCCTAATCCCCTGACTTTCTTCACCATCGCCCGAGGACCACCACCATCTCCACCGGCAATGAGCATGTGCGGCTTGGCTATGGCCGCCGTGCATGCAACGCCCAGCTGCTACTACCCTCCAGCGCCCATGCGCACATCTTCCCTGGCTTGCGCTCTGCCTTGAATGAGCCTGCGCTGAAGGAGAGCTCACGCAGCAGTCTCCAGCCAGAATGTGTCTGCACTGAAGGCCAATACTTTCCTTTATGCAAAGTGAGCTGCTGCATGGGCCCTGCCTCTGTGCACGAGCGGTACCCAGTAGCTTGGTCTCAGCGTCCAGTGTCTGCGTCCAGGGCCTTTCCGGAATGTGCCCGGGGGCCCCCAGGTTAGTGTCGCGCCCAACTACCCAAAAGGCCTTGGGCCACATGGCGTCTACCGGGCTGTTTTGCCGTCCTAGAAGGGCCAACCTACTGAAAAAAAGAGGAGTACAGTATGTTCACTTCACTTACAGGGGGTGAGCTACTTAAAAATACTCTAAAAATTTAGTAAAAACTTAAAAGAAGAAAAATAGAATTATGGTACGATGTGTGCCGGTCAGACAAGACCGGCGCAAAGTTCAAAAACTGCATAACAATGATAACAGTGAAAACTTGAAAAGTCGATGTGAAATTTCATCAAAGCGTCACCTTCAGCAAGTTTGGTAGAGTTCGAAAAAGCATGACAAGTTTTGGCAGACACACAAAGTACTTGAGATTGGACACCGTCCTTAATGTGAGGAACGAGCCCTCAAGGGGCCCTATCAGACACCACATGTTCTGGGCTAAGGCCCCCAGCAAGCCGAGTGGTCGCCCTAAGTGAAGGCGGGCCTGAATATTCGTCAAAGGCCAAAATTTGACACTTTCATATGTGGGTATTCAGGCTCTTGCAGCATGCCAGTTGGTTGAATGGACGCGCGAGCCTCACTAAGCTGCGTCATACAGTTATCCCAGGCCTTGACAGTTGCGCCTGGGCACATACACACAAAGCAGGGCCGATACATTGAGAAGCAGGCCATTGGCCTACGCAAAAGCAGTACTGTCGATGCACCTACCCGGCCCTGCCCAGATGCAGCAAACAGCCTGAGTCCGGAGACTCAGGCCGTGCCCAACTGTAAATGGGGCCCAGGCCCTCAACTGTAGTCTCGGGCCTAGGCGCAGGGTCCGAGGCCCAACCGGAAGCTACTGGAAGCTTCCAGCCAGGCCACACGCAGCATCCAGGAGGCTGCCACTTCCGTAAAGGAAGTGAGGCAGCCCAGGCCAGGCATTCTGGCCAGTGCAGGCAATGCAGAAGTGCTGCTGCGCTATCGCTTGATGCTGCGCCACTGCCAAGGGCGCTGACGGGGCGCGTAGTGGTGAGGTGGGGCGCTGCAGAGCAGCGGGGCGCAGGCAGCCATAGCTGGGCTGCTGGGCGCCAGGGGGTAGGAGGGCGATCAGGTGGTCTTCAGGGAAGGAGGCGCAGTGTGGGGTAAATCAAGGTCTGATTGAGGGTGACGAGATACGTACCTGGTGCATGAAGAGAGGTCGGCTATGGTGTTGACAGTCATGTACATTGGGCTTCGTGAGTCGAAGTAAGCCTGTTGCGCGAACCAGCTGTAGGTAGGATAGTCGGGCAGAGTAGGCTGGGCGCTGGGCGCCAGACAGTAAGAGTAGCGACTTTGGATACTATGTTGGTGTGGCCTACGGGCTTGAACATTGGCTCATTACTTCATCTTATTGCCCTATATGGATGGTTTCTTGGTGCATTTTGTACTCTCTGCTTGGACACTACTACCTGAACATCTGTGTGATTTCGCAACTTGGTTTTTTGTATATCGTTCACACTCATATTCCTTGCATTAAAAGGGGGAACAAAAAAAATAAAAAACGAAAAAGAAACAAAAAAAAAATTTGGAGTCATTGGATGGAGATGATTGGACCCAGTCGATTTCGCTTGGCAGCAGCCTGCAGTATTAATGATTATCTGCATGCCCATGTTTCTGGCCAGATGCATTGCCAACACTGGCTGATTCAGCTTCTGCAAAGTCAACTCTGGGAGGAATGGAGATCCAAACCAAAAGCCAAGGAGAGCGAAAAGCTGGTTAGGTACGTCGTCCATGTCAGGATGAACCCTCCTCCTGTGTTTTAAGAATTATCCATGAACATGCCCCATGTTTTTGGTTAGATGCATTGCCAACACTGCCTTATTGTTCTATATTGATGTCTTGTGTTCGAACTCCAAACTCTGAAAAGATTTTGAATGTGTTTTTTTTCTGTAAAAGTCAACTCAAGACTTTCTTTCTCAAGTCAACTCACCCTTACCTTTTTGAACGAGTCGTGACAGCTTTTTAAAATTGGAACGATACAGAGATTAAAAAAAATAAAAGAGGAATGGTACAGAGAAGATTAGCATGGCCCCTGTGCAAGGACAACACGTATAAATTGACGAAAATGGTCCAATTTTAAGAAAGAAAAATCTCAAAATCGCTCTTAAAAAGTAATAAAAAGTATTAAAAACCCTTATGTTTCTTCACGGTCTCTCTGCAGGAGAAACAACTCCCAAGTTCCAACCCATGGGTCCCTTCTGTAGCCTGACTGAGGCAAATGCCATAGGCAGCAGAAGTAAGTGTCACTCCGGCCAGGTCATTATTGGTGTATCTAGAGTCTAGACCGAAAGTTGCACCAGATACGGTTATAATGACCGGGTGTTCTATTGCGTGAAGACGGTAGCAGTTTTTGTATCAATCAGGCATTTCATGTGCCAGAACTGAGAGGGAAAAAGGAATGAAGTTCAATGGACCGACCCTACGCAGAATGACGGTGTTCTATTGGGCTTTTCGGTATGTTTGTTGGAGGGACGTGGGGAGGCGTTGAGTATGTGTAAATGTGATGTTTCTTGTGTTGCCAGTGGAATAGGAATGAAGTTCAATGGACTGACACTCCACAGAATGGAATGGAGCCAGGCCCAGAAGGACCTGTCTTCTTGTTATTATCTATCAACAAGTGGAACCCGCCACGGCTACGCCGTGGCGCACAGCAACACTCGCTGATGGCGTCTCATTTTTCTTTCATGTCTCTCTCTCTCTCTCTCTCTCTCTCTCTCTCTCT